ATTAACTTTAAAAAATAAAGTAAGTCAAGGGTCCACTATAACTCATTATCAGTCAGTAAAATTAAAGAATAAGAAAAAAAACAGTTTATTTTAAATAATAGTTAAAGTTGCTTACAAATTTTACCTATTTCTATGTTTACTATCATTTCTTATATTCTCCATCTTTCTTGTCTATTCTCTTTCTGATATAGTTCCAATTGCAAAAATGGGTCATTTTTATCTCTTTACCTGATAATATATATTTTTAATATACACAGGTATTGAAAGTATTAACATATGTCAAATCATCTCATAATGAAATTGTCTGAACTGCCAATGGCAAAGCACAGAAATGTTACATGATAGGCAGAATTATATTTTAAAACAGGAAACATATGGTACAATAAAAACATACCTATGTTCAGTAAAGATAAAAATACAAACAGTAGTGACCCTAATTTATGGCCATTTTCCTTAATTTTTTTTTTTTATAACTTCAGATGACCCTCTAAGCTGAGTTTGGAGCTGAAACCATCCAAACACATGACTCTAATCGAGTTATCTACTAGGAGGAAATAATTATAATACCATACGTTAGGATACAATATCACCATACTTAATGACTTTATAATTCAGTATCATAGTTTAAGAAAAAAGAATGCTGCCTAAACTAACAATCTTGAAATGTTGAATAATGTGGTTCAATGAAAGTTAACTGACATTTTCCCAATGCATTCCAAAAAAAGGAAAAAGAAAGACCTATCATCACTATACAATACTAATAACCAAAGACTGTAGGATCTCTATTACCTTTATTAACTTCATAATATGAGTGACAATTATTTAGGAGGAAAATAAGGCTAAATATATTTTGGGAGTTTGTAAGCACTTATTAAGTTTGCATGTTTCCTCACTTGCTAGAATCAACTTCAAATTTAAGTACTCAAGTACCTGAAATACTTAAGTACTTCAAATTTAAGTATTGTTCTTTTTTATGGGTACATAATAGTTTCACTGAAAACTTTATAGCTGCATTATACTTTATATTCCATTTCAGATGCAGATAGTTGGACTGAATAAATTTAAGTGTAACTGAATGACTGAAAAAAAAAAAGATAAAAACATCGGTTTTTGGCCCAGAATAGTTCAATTTGTCATTGCAATTTTTTACAAAATGAATTCACTCTAAAAAAAAAAAAAAAAAAGTTAATGGAATAGAAATTGTTCTTCCTAGCCAGGCATGGTGGTGCACTCCTGTAATACCAGCACTCCAGAGGCTGAGGCAGGAGGATTGCTGTGAGTTCGAGACCAGCCTGTTTCAGGTGAGTCTCAACTACATAGTGAGACCCTGTCTCAGAAAACCAAAAAAAAAAAAAAAAAAAAAAAAAAAAAAAAAAAAGAAAATAAATTGTTCTTCCTGCTTTATTTTGCCCTGTCTTCTCCAGTCCACTCACCAGAAGACATCTCAAGTAGAATTTCTCCAAAAGCTGCAGAGTTAGGCTGATGGGCAGTTACTATTCTTGTTTTCAGGCTGATTTTACTCTACATCTGAAAATATTTTTTTGTAGTTGTTGTTTCTACACAATTTTCTACCTTTAAAGGAAAAAAAATCAAGTGACATAGTAACTAGGAGGGAAGAGCAAGCTACACTGATTTCTGCAGCAATTTTCCAAGTATTGTTTCTTGCCTTCAGGATTCACAATCAGGCAAAAAATGTTCCTCTGTAGTTCTAATGAAAAAATGAGCAATAAATTATAGAATATATGCTAAACCAAATGAACTCATTACTGTATTACAAAACAGTTTAATATATTTAGACTAATATATTAGGTGGGTAAACAAAAAATATGCTATAGTAATAGCACAATGTATGCAAACCTGACTGGCCTATGCTAATAAGAAATAAAACACAAAAGATGCTAAAGCATTCGGGTATTTGGAGAAAAGCCAAATACCTTTACAACTTCCCAGAAATATCATTCCTTCCACTTAGCTGCACATATGCATAAGTACCCTAGATACAAAGAAATCTAGAAATTTATTCTTATTCTTTTATAAAGTTAGTTAAAAATTAATAAATAAGAAATTAAAGTGAAGGTGCTGTAATAAAGTTAGAATATTCTAACTGAAAAATAATTACAACAAAACTATTTATACTCCTGTAGAATTAGAAACATTTTTTCAAGGTATATTACAATATAGTTTTTAAACAATATTTTCTTCTTACTCTTGAGACTTAAAACATTAATGGTTTATTTTACATTAAAAACACGTTAGAGTAAGAATGACTTTCTCAGGAAAATGGCTTTGTGATTTAAAGTAGCATGTTGTGTTTAGATTTTTCTTCAAATACATCTGTATGCCTCATCTCTCAACGTAAGGACTATTTTTAATAATATGTAATTGATATAAAATTATGTTGAAATGGCAACATTATTTAATTCTGGGAAGTTTCTAGTCAAGGTTTCAGAGATACACAGTACACAGTCCTTTTTTTTTTCTTTTGGTACTGGGGATCAAACTCGGGTCCTTGCACTTGTGAGGCTGGCGGCAGAACCACTGAGCCAAATCCGCAGCCCGGAGATACACAGTTCTTTATAGAAAACTGGGAAAATATCAACAGTTTGTAAGTGTGCTCCTTCCTACTGTTCTCATCACCTTCATCTCAAAAGTATATCCATATTTCACAAAGGTAAAAGCCATAAGCTTAATTCTTCTCCTGAAAGACAATTTTTACATTTAAAAACTTACTTTCCTATTTTCAATATTTAAGTAAATAAACCTGTAACTCTGAGATAACTTTAGGGCCTCACTAGGAAAATCCCCTCTGTAGCTGCTGGCTCAAACTCTGCAAACTTGCCAAACTATGCAGATGTTGAAGCAGCTCTCAGTTACACTGGGGAAGAAAGAAGCACTCGACATTCCACAGCTGCCTACAGCTTCCTTCCCGGGGGCACAGTTGCAGACTCTATCAAGCTCAATCACTGTACAGCAACTGGGGATCTCCGACCGGGACAAAGAAATCCCAGAGCAGCTTAAATTTCTCCTAGTACCACAGTAAGAAGTAACACTGCTTAAAGGGTAACCAGTATTTCCAGAAATTATGTGGCCTCCAGCCAAAAAAATGAAGAAGAACATCTGTAGTGAAAGAAAATGAAAGATGTATCATATTTTTAAAATGTCAGGCTACTTACAGATCTTTCTTGGTTCTTTGTTAAGGTGATAACTATGAATATTTTATGTTTATTCTTATTTTCTCCCTTGGGTGGTGGGACACAATAGTCAAGCTGAAGAAACAACTTAATAGTCAATTCAACGAATGTAATGCAACACAAAATGTAAATGGCAATAATATGTTTAAAGGTACTGCACTCTTCCATTTTACATCAGTGTATGTTCTCACAAGTTCTTTCAAATATTTTAAAGACTAAAATAACTGTATTAACGATATGATATGACTGAAAGCAAGTAAAGAATATTCTTCCCTACCTAAGGGTTACTGTGCTATGGCAGATGCCATTTTCTTAGGATAAACCAGAAAGGAAAGGGCTATACACAGTTCCATTAAATAACAGAACTACACAGATCACTATTCTCCACAGAATTATACTTCTGTATTAATCACCTTACTCGTAGGTAGTAAAAGACAATTCATAGGCTCCATGCACAGTTTTTATATCTTGAGTTTATAATAGTTGCAATTACTATTACCTGGCCAGAAAACCATTACTGTACCATCATATAAGCATTTGAAGAATTCAGCACATAATAAAAATAATAATGATGTTATTATTTATTGTAAGTTTGTATGATTCAAGCATTGTGCTGAATTACTTCATTCCATTTTATAGATTAAATTAACTTAGAAGACCAATGAACTAAAAATGATACTACCCAAAATTTTAGAATTTTTACTCTAAAGTTCATGTTCTAGTTATTTATTATGCTTTCCTGACTGTTGAAAGTGCCATTAATTTGGAACATCATAGGTATTTCTGAAATCCATTTTAAAGGTTTATATTAAGTCATTAAATTTTTCTCACCAGAGAAAAATAGCCTCTCTACACATTAGTTAAATCTATATTGCTTATACTCTCTTTTTCTTCTCTAACTATGGATTTTCTAATAGCCAGGAAGTCTCCTTTCAACCTAGAGTATTAGTAATGCAATTCCCTGAAGTTGTTATATTCTAAGAATCCTAAATTTTAGGTGCCTTTCTGCTTTAAATTGATTCTCAAAACTCAAGGCCAGGCATGGTGCCACACGCCTGTAATTGCAGCACTTGGGAGGCTGAGGCAGGAGGATCGCTGTGAGTTCGAGACCAGCCTGGGTTACATAGTAAGTTTTAGGTCAGTCTCAACTACATACTGAGACCCTGTCTCAAAAAACAAAACAAACAAAAAAAGCTCAAAAGTAGCCATAAGTAATTAGCAACACTGAAACATGTAAACTCTAACCCAAGCCCAAAAATTTACAATAAGAAAATGTTTGAGTTTCATGCTAAAAAATCAATAAGAAGACCTATCCTTAAAATGCTTTTGTTTACAGCCTAACAACACTCCCCTCAGACAATGCACAGTAAGGAGGAATACACAGGCAGAAGTTGATGACATATGGAGTGTGCATGGAACTTCTGGTTAATGGAAGTTCCAAGACGTATAAATAAAAAATGATGTGTGAGTTGGTGGAAAAAACTGTAAGGCAAGTCAATTTTTTAATTAAAAAATTATGTAGCATAAACAATGCTAATGAGCCAAAAGTCCCAAGAGATTAGGATTCTATCTGCTTCATTTTAACATTCCATTCACTTTTCATAAGTGTACGTTCACTCACTTTAATAAAGCAGAACCCTATTTGCAAAATAGTTTTGAAGGTTTTCTTTGTCCTTGCTCTTCACAGCTCACCATATTCTACACGTTTGTAGCCTGATGACACATTATACACATACTTACAGAGGCACGCACACAGGTCCACACACAAAAAGAACCTAAAATCTTTATGAGTCAAAAGAAAATAAATACCTGGAAGTTCCTCATATATCTCCTCATCTATTGGCTGAGTACTTATTGGTGGGCTGCTGATTGGTAGAGGATGATCAACATCATCATATACGTCTGCTCTTTCATCATCATCCTCAGGAATAATATCAGATTCCATATCTACAAGACATATTTCATGAAGTAAACTTTATTTTGTAAAAGACTTTTAAAACTGTATTTCCTAAGTAAAAAGTCCTACAAATTAACAGCAATACTACTATGTGCTACATTCTTTATTTTTAAAAAAATTTAAATTGATTTGTAAATGTGTGAATTTTAAAGTTGCCAACTCATACTTACAAAAAAAAGATGCTTTCGTAAATCAGAACTGAATGATCTCTATTAATACCAGTCATATCCTTTGGTTATTCTCACAGAAGTCAATAAGCCCTTGTATATGAAAACCAAAATTACTCAGTTACTTATTATTTAAAAATTGTGATTGCATGTTCAACCAAAGCTCTTACCTTGCAATACAAATTTCAGCTGCTGTACCCATTCCTCCGCATCTTTAGGAGAAGCTGCTGTAAACTAATTAAAAAAAAAAAAAAACGATAAGAATAAAAATCGCTACGGTAGCAATGTAAGGTATGTCACATTCTTATCATTTCTTTAAGACCATTAGTGATTCTCTTCATGTCTAGTGGTACTTTCCTTGCAAGGATGCTTCTTATAATGTACAGTTAATTTTGACAAATTTATGTAATTGAAGCAGAGGATGATGGATTTGAAACTCTGATCAGCAGCTGGCAGCTGTGCAGGAAAAAAAGCTGCTTCTCTTCATCAATGTCAAAGACAGAACTGATGAACAAAATTTGCCCTTGACAATTAGAAGACAACCATGAATTTCTTTAGACTGCTGGGTACAGTTTTCTTAAAAATGTTCTTGTCAGATTCCAACACACTACCTGACAACTTAATTAACTAGCTTTCAGCTGCAATCTCAGATATTTAAAACTTATTAAACATACATTCCATATTGATGCCTAGCTGATAGCTCTTGAATTGCAGAGCTGATCCATGTCTTTATCTTCATTTTCTCCTACACCCCAAGCAATACAATATGCATTAACAGTCTAATATTTTTCCTTTGATAATTTACTCTTTCTGCTATGCAATTCTTCTAGGAAATCACATACTTCTTTTAAGATAGATATAAAATACTACATGTGGAGTAATTGATAAATTACATATTCATTTGATCTTTTTCAAGAAGATATCACTTGACCTGCTCTCAAATTTTTAAGCATATTTCCTCTTATATGAATGTTCAATGTACAAAGCCCAGTATTTTTTTATTATTATTAACATGTCAGGGAGAGCTGTTTTAACAAAATGTTAATGTTTCTATAAATGAAATCAGAACATCTTATCAACTTAATTTCAAAGCAACATAAAATTTCCAACCTGATAGACACGTTTATCAGGAGCACAGATTTCAAAACAACAATCTTTCTTTCCATCCTTCCTAAGGGTGTTATTCATTCTGACATCATAGCCATCTATTGCAAATTCACCTTTCTGTTGTTTGTCTGTTGAAGATAAAACAGAATTTCATTTACTGTACTGAATATAAAAGCTTAATTATCTTTAATTTAGATCTCTGTGAATTCTTAGAATAGTGTGTGCCCATACTGCTTTAGTAATACAATACCTAAATAGTATACCTAGACATCATTTTAATTGTAAAATATGTCTGTTTTTGCATCAAAAATATTATTTTAGGGAACCAATGGAAAATGTCTGTACATAATGGCTTTGCTCAGTAAGAGGTATAAAAATAAGACCTTGAATACAGGGAAAATCTAAAAACTTGAACTAGGCAATCCACAACAAACTCATTACAAACCAGATTTAGGAAGTTATTATAAAAAGAGGCTCTATAAACCAAACTTTTCTTTTTAAAAAAAAATCCTAACTTGGTACAAGCTCTAAATGTTAAAAGCAAGAACAACAAAAACCTACTGATTTACAAAACAGATATGAAGGGGAAACAAAAGTATTCAGATGGATAAGAATAGAAAAGTATGTATAGAAGCATTAGTTACAAAAAAAAAAGACATTTCTTAAATAGTCATTGAAGAGCTGAAATTAGTGATAAGCACATTGAGTCTCACAGGATAAAGAGTCGAAAGAAAGATGATTTAACTGTAATCCCAGCATTGAGGGAGGCTGAGACAAGAGGACTGCAGGTTTGAGTCCTTTCTCTTTGTGACACTCTGTCTCAAAATTAAAAATAAGGAGGTAGGGGTAGCCTAATGGTAGAATGGCACTGGTTCAACTCCAGTACCACAAGAAGAAAAACAAAAAAAAGAGAGAAAGATGACTTGAACTTTAATCAGATATTACCTTAAAGACAAAGTACAAATGTGACAAATAATTTAATATTGTGAAGCAAAAATAAAATCAGTCAACACTCCTACTTCATTCAGTTGTACCTTTCTTTCTTCTGCCCACCGCCCCCAGTACTGGGGGTTAAATTCAGGGAGTACCGATCTACATCCCCAGCACTTTTTAGTTTTTTTTGAGATAATATCGTGCTAAGTTGGCCCAGCTGAACTCAAACTAGCAATCTTCCTGCTCAACCTCCTGATATCCACCATGCCTGACTAGTTGTACTATTTTGACAGAAATTTTGCATAACTATATGTTTATTTCCCAGGTTAACATACAATATTAAAGCCATGAGTAAAGACTGTCAAATTGTCTCTCTTTATGTGCTCATGGGAAATATGAAAATGCCTCTACACCACAGGGTAAAGAGCTATCTCGGCTTAGTGCATCAATAAAGTATATATTTTTTATTCTTAAATAAACTAATTTAATGCCCAAAGTAATATAATTTTTAAAATATTATGAAGATAAAATCTTGTTCCAACTGTCAAATAAAAAATAGAAATTCTTGACTTAAACCTGGACAATCTAATTATATTTAGTCATAATTTATGTAGCTGATGACTGAAAAAATTCAAACTAAAAACTTTGAAGTTTATTTGGTTGAAAAGTCTAAATAAATTCTATGAGGTTCAAAAACACTATACTTTAAAAATTATAGCTTTTCCAAAAATGTCTTCTATGAGATATTACAAAATGGGTGTTGGGCCAGGGATTTAGCTCAGTGATTCCGCCGCCTGCCTCACAAGAGCAAGGTCCCAAGTTCGATTCCTGGTACAAAAAAAAAAAAAAAAAATGGGTGTTATAGTTTGGATCTAAAAAGTTCCCTGAAAAGGCTCATATGTTTGGATGTGAGGCTTCTGGAAGGTGACTAGATCATGAAGGCTCTAATTTCATTAGTGGATTCACCTATTGATTAATTAATAACCTGATGGTATTATTGGGAGGTGATGGAAACCTAGAAAGTGGGGCCTAATTGAAGGGTATGGGGCTTGGGGGAATGGCTTTGGAGACTGTACATATGTCTCAGCCCCTTTCTCTCTGGCTCACTCACTTTCTCTGTTTCCTGGCTGCCATGAGGTGAACAGCTCTGCTCCACCATGCCCTCTCCACAATGATCATCTGCCTCATTATAGGCCCATAACAATGAGTCCAGCTGACCACAGACTGCAACCTCTGAAACTGGAAATGAAAATACACTTTTCCTCCTTTAAGTCATTATTCTCAGGTATTTTGTCTCAGCAATGGAAAGCTAGCACAATAGGTTTCTGTGATCAAATAAGTTTAGGAAGCTTTGTGCTGAATAAAATTAAGCTTTATGTTTTAAATAGTTTTATGAGCCCAGATCATACTTGGGGAGGCTTTAGTATATTTACATAATGAATTAATTTCTAGGAGAAAGATTTAATATACAGCATTTCCAAAAATCATTTGTACATGGAGTCCTTTTTTCACAGATCATTTTATGAATCTGATACCCCTAGAACATATTTTGCAAAATATGCAACTAGAAGAATATTGGAGAAAAGTAGCAAATAATAAATGGCTAAATGTGGTTGGTTCTTTAAAAATCTTCAAAGAAGACTCAAACATTTTTTCACATATTCCACAAATTTATACTTAGCACTTTAAGCAAGCCAGGTAGCATTATATGTAGTAAAAAGTTAGTAACACTTTTATCACACCTTGACCACCTTCTTATTGAAATAAAGACACACACATGCACAAACATGCCTATTATACAACCTTTAGTACTCCCAATATTAATCAGTTATCTATTGGACTGAAAAAGGAATTTAATTTGCATTATAAAAAGTGGAAGTAATCTCAAGCAAAATATCTAAGTCATCTAGGACAGTTTTGAAAGATTTTCTTAAACTCCCTTAGAGAAAAAGGATTTTTAAGGACCAGACTTGGAAAAGTGGCTCTTCCTTGCTGCACAAGGGCTCAATCATTCTACTCATTAGGTCCATCAGATCTAAAGCCCATGCTTTCTACCTGCAATTTGGGTCTAAAATTCTTATCACTCTAACATGAATGTATTGGAAAACATAAGGACTAGAGCCTACACCTGGAGATGTAAAATTAGCAACACAAAGACTGATTTTCAAAGCAGAAGGGGCTTTCTTATGCTAGATTATCTAGAAATAAAGTAATCAGGCAGCAACATCAAGTGATGACCTCCAACTTAAGACTATCAGGTCCACTTTACACAAAACCTCCAGAAATACGCTATGAAGCCATCTATCATCAGATCTTGTTCTTCTAAGAGGAGAACCAACAAAGAGAAGTCACAAATCCAATTTATAGTAAGCATTTCCAACAACATGGACATATTGTTATTTAATGATGAGTAAAATAGAAAAGCAAACAAGCAAACATAAGTGTCAGGAAAATAAAGCAGTGCCTTGGTTCACCAGCTTAATTCTTTCCACGATTCTAGTCATAAACTGAACTGGATGAGAATCACGTCAAATATCCCCATAAGGTCAACATTGAACCTAACCATTGAATTTGATTTGGTTCTCATCCAATTTGACCAGAATCATGGAAAGAATTAAGTTCATGAACCAAGGTACCACTGTATTATGGAATCAAAGACATAACACTTGAGATATAGAAAATATAAGCAAGCTAGGAGTAACCAAAGTAAGCTTAGACACTGCTTTCATACCTCTTATATATCAAAAAAGCAACAACACAAATTTGAAAAAGTTTAAAAATGAAATAACTTAACAAAATACAAAGAGAAATGATTGAGATAAAAACTGAAATGAAACCAGCAAAATAAAGAGGGGAAAGTATAAGGAAACAAAAAATGTAGTAACAATGAATTAGAAGTGAAGTAACAAAAATCAGAATCAGCATTGCTAAAAATTAAATATACTGGTTAGAAATAAAAGAGTAAGTAAGAAAAAGGACAAAAGGGAATGCGGTAGACAAGGAAGACTAACAAAAACACAACTTAAGAAAACTGAGTGTTCTGGAAGATGAGTAACAAAACAGTGCCAAAGACATAACAGAAGAAAATTTCATCTTATCAAAGACAGACCCAACTTTGTAGAATAAAAAGTGATAATTTTTAACTAAGTAAAAATACTAAAATACCTAAAGTTGTTCAGTTGATTATTCCTATTTGAGAATAAAAAATCATATAAATAGCCAAATGGGATAGGATGTGGAACCAAAAAGGTTGAATCAAAGGCAATAATATAGCTTTTGCAAAATCAGAACCATAAAGTGGCCATATTTCTTATTAGCCAGCATGGGACAAGCAGTCTAAGACATGAAATGGGCAAACATGGCTACAATATGACCTGTTCTTCTCCCTTCATGTCAACTTCCCTTCTGGACAGACAGAGAAAAATTCAGCATTACATGGTTATCCATAATGATTTATAGATTAGTTCCACAGTGCTTTCTGGGACACCTGTTTACACAGATCGTCAAGAACAGCAAAATGCGAGTCAAACAGGAAATAAGGTAATGTAAGTTTATTTACCCAAAACTATGAAAGACCAGTAAAATATATTATGCAAGTGAGCTTCACACATAGCAGAAGCTTATTCCCACAAGTGCCAAACTTCTTAAAATGTTAATCATTTTAATGGAAATCTAAAATATATACTCCCTTAATTTCTGAAACAATGTCTTTTAAACATAATTTAATATTTTCTTGACAATCTAGCAGTATCATTTTGAGTATTAGTTTTTATATTATAACATGTTGCCCTCAGGATTTCTGAAGTATTTGTCCCTCTATTAAATTTCTCTCAGCTTCAATTTCACACTTTCACCTTGCCTCTATCATGTTGTTCAAATTTAATGTCTACAGACTTGAAGGCTGCTAGGAGTAACCAGATAATGAAATCCATTAAGTCAGTAACTTAATTTTACACAATTCTACATTCAAGATAAAAAGCAGTTGGCTGTGATCTCCTACAAAGCATAATCCATGAGGCTAAATGACAGCTATTTCTTTCTATTTTCTCACTGGCTTTTAGGTTTACAGCTCTAGTCTGGGTATTTGAAGCTGCCAAAAAGACAACTCACTGAGCTCCTTCCCATGTCAGGAACTCAATGTAGCATATCTCATATAAACCTTGTACTAATTCTAAGTGACAGAAGATATATATCA